ATGCCGGCTCTTACCATCTAGAAATGGACTAATAAAACAAGATCAGATATCCCTATACAGGGGGCAATGAAGTATGGTGTGTGTAGTGGATTCTATATCTTTTAGAGAGCAAGGACAAAGTCTGTCTACATATGGTATCTGGCGGTACCTCCCTGAAAGCACCTCTGATGGCAGAACATTAAAGCGTGCGAGCATGTATGCTCTGCGATGATGTGGGGCTGTTAAACTTGACAGATACTTTGCAGTACAGCCCATGTCAAAGGTCCCCAACCTACTTGGGGAGCATCTGCTGGTTGCGCGTTCCCTAAATTCTTGCCTTTCGATGTCGAGAAATCTTTATTTAATAATAGCATAGGCTTGTTTATCTGAAAAGGGGGCTAAATAATCCGGGGATATTCCCATTGAAGAGCATTTCTCCTCTACATATCTAAGCCATGGAGAGAGATGGGACTCAGTTAACATGTGAGTAATAATACTTTTAGCTTTAGCATGGAAATGAAGTTTAAGCCAAAACTGAGCTGTTATCAGCCATGCTCTGGTCGATAGAAGCCTTTGATTAGTTTCTAAGCATAAAGCTGCATAAAGAGCACACGAGGGAAGTCCAAGAATTTTCTGCAAGAATCTGGACTGAATTCTTTCCAAGTCCAATCACAACTACATTGCTAGCCTTCAGTCTATTGTTTCTGCAGGAAAAGGCTGAGGGGAGAGCAGGCCCCTTTATGGGGCTGTTTTGTCCTTTGAGGGAGGACTCATCAGGGCCAGGCCTATCAGCAGCCACTGAACAACGTGCAACCAAGTGAGTTCTCTGATTCACCCAGGCCTAGCTACTTGCTACTGTTCAACAGCAGCCATGACATGGAAGCCAGTGTGGTGTAGTAATTAGAGTTCCAGACTAGGATCTGGGAGAAGACCCAAATTCAGATCCCCATTCTGCCATGCTTACTGGGTGACCTTGGGCCAGTTACATATACTCAGCCTAACCTACATGGTTGTTGTGAGGATAAAATGGAGAATATTATGTAAGCTACTTTGTGTACTATTGTGGGAAAAGGTGGGGTGTAAAGGAAGGAAGGAAAGGTGAGGAGATGTGGGCTGCTAGGAGGAGGGAAAGAGGGGAAGTGTGGGGAAGGGGATAAAGGCAAAAGTGAGGTAATTTCTGTGAGTCCTTGCAGATTCCCTACTTCACAACTGGCCCTCACCCTGTGGCCAGCACCATGTAGACTTTTCCCAAGGAGAGGCTGCCAGGGGGAGGAAAGGAGGGAAAACTGAGGATGGGGGGAGATAGAGGTAGGCTGGTGGGTGGGAAAGATTGAAGGAAACAGAAAAATTGGAGATGCTGTAAAGACTTTCAGAGAAACAAAAGAAGAAATAGTGGGAGAGGAGAAAATGAGATGCCCTCCACGAGTACTTTTAGATCCCCCACTTGCCAGGTCGCCCAGCAAGGCGGGGTATAAATTGAAAGTAATAAATACATAAATAATAAATTGTATGCCTCTAATTTCCTATTACCACCCTACCTTAGTGCAATGCTTGCTCAAATGCATGAATAAATCCAGTGTAAAAACAAATTATAGATCCCCTTAAAACAGAGCTGTCTTGTATGACAGTTCTGAGAATTAAAAAAAAGATAAAGGTAAAGGTTCCCTTGCTCGAAAGCCAGTCGAATCCGACTCTAGGGTTGCGGTGCTCATCTCTGTTTCAAAGCCGAAGAGCCAGCGCTGTCTGAAGACGTTTCCGTGGTCATGTGGCCGGCATGACTAAACACCAAGGTGCACGGAACACAGTTACCTTCCCACTGAAGTGGTACCTATTTATCTAGTTGCAATTTCTTGCTTTCAAACTGCTAGGTTGGCAGGAGCTGGAACTAGAGACGGGAGCTCACCCCGTCTTGCGGCACCCGGGTCTTGAACTGCTGAACTACTGACCTTCCACAGCTTGCCGTTCAGCGTCTTAACCACTTGAGCCACCGCAGCTCCGAGAATCAAAAACTGATGACCAAAAACTTGTCTGGTCAAAACTCTATCACCCTGGAAAATTTACCATAACAAGGACATCCCTGCTTTAAATATTATTTCATCCATGAGAGTGGAGTGGTTCTCTGAAGGGGTGGGCAAAATGCTTGCCTCTCTAGAATGACTCCCCATGTTTGTTCTGTTAAGTGTAATGGAGAAAGAAGAAGAAAGCCCAGGAAGAAGATAAACAACATGTGCCTTGCAAGCACAGTGATTATGCCTCCAAAAGCTTCTTTTCCTGACTGCAGAATGAGGGATTTTGATATAAAATCATAAGCAAAAGCAGCATGTGGAAAATGATCTCCTGGAAAGCACTGCCATGCAAAAGCAGTGCGAAACAAGTGGAAACATCTTCAATACAATTCAAGGGCAGCCAGTTTGTTTACATTTATTTTAATTCTCTACTGGTGAATGAATTGCCCTAGTCTGAAGGTTTATATTCTTAGGGTTGTTAGAAAATAGCTAAGCACTGTTTGGTTAATCCACGAAGTCAATTGGCTCAACACCATGTCTTCAAAGACAACTCTTTTTTTGTATACAAGAGAATAAATCTTTGCTTTCTGCTTAAGGAGAGAATATTTCCTTTAGATGTTAGTCATTCTAGCCTGTGCGTCAGAACAACTGATACTTAAACCAGTTACTAGATCTGATGATCCCTAAAATTATTCCAAGTTCTTTAACAAAAAAACAATGGTGCTTAAATTCGAACATAGATGTTTTCCTTGTCAGGTATGCTGCAAATAGTGTATCTGTGGTTGGCTGAGTGTAATAACAATACTTTGCATTTATATAGCATTTTAGAGTGTTCAGAGTGCTCCACATACATTATTTTAGTAATCCTACAACCTTTAAAATCTTTTTTTGCTCTGTTTCTTCCCTCATTTCTACTGCTTCTTGTTGACTATTTTTTTGCACTTCTACCCCAATCTTTTTCCATCTCGCAACTTGTGGTAAATGTATGTAGCATTCCTGTCCAGGAATTGACTAGACTCAAATCTGTTTCAGCAAAGTTGCTCTCCAAACACCTGCTCTCCAAACATACCATGGAGCCTTCAATGGAAACAGCAAGCAAGACTTTCACTCTACCAGCCATTCAATATTATTACCCTCATGTTACAGAGGATGGATGGGTAGTTCAGATTGAGGCTGAGAAGCCACTCAAGGGGTTTGTTCATTGCTGACGAGAAATTTACCAGCGGGCTCAGTCACTATGCAACAGTAGCTCTCAGCAACTATATAAACAAGATTGCCGTATTATGATCTAGCCAATTTTGCAAACTGAAGTTTGCACTGGGACCTCAAACACTGAATGGTTGGGTTTTAAGCCAAATGCCCTTTCTACCCCTACCTATTGATATCTCCATTCTTAAGGAGATTTATGCCATTTCAGGTACTTAAGGAGACTTATGCAATTTCAGGTACTTCAGTTTACAGAACAATAGAACTGGAATGATTGTTCCTGTTCCCTTAATGCACTGGGACCATTGGAGGACAGGAGACCATGTGCAGTTGTTTTATATCCTTGGAGAGATGGCAGGGTACAAATGAAACAATAGATGGAGTTATGTATTATCATACTAATTTTAGAAAGTAAATATCATGAATGTTCAATAAGGATATTCTTTTCATTCACTATTGCATTCAGCAACTGTCCTAAATAGCAGATCAAACCATTTGCTCCATTATAAGAGCATTTGAGGTTCATGCTGCCAAGGCTATGACCGCTGTAAATCCCTTTTTCATTAAATGCAGCATGCAGCAAACACCCACAGAGGTGCTGGTCTACTGTCTGAAATGAATTTGTATATGTTTTTGCTACCAGCTTATGTTAGTCAAATTTTAGAGAAAATGGAGTAGAAGTATACCATTTATTCAGTCAGTTCGAAACTCACTGATTTGTTTGTTGACATTTTTCTTTATTGAAACTTTTATTCTTAGAATAATAAGTAGTATTTGTGAACTCTTTTAAAATTATCAAATAAAATTTGGAGAATAACATGTCACATTAGAGGTGCAAATTGTTTCAGCTACATGAGATCCAGTCAGTTCAATATGAGGCAGATAAATAATGGATTAGATCCAACCAAATTTTTCACTCAGCCTCACCTTATTCATTTCCCATTCCATGTGGTTTTTATTAAGGAATCAAAGAATGTCCAGTTATTTGCCTTTTTGTTAGTTTTTTATTGTTGGTAGTCAACAGGTACCATCTCTCTTTTTGAATGATAAAACTTGTTGAATGGAACCATATACACACATACGTACACACACACACACACACAGAGAGAGAGAGAGAGAGAGAGAGAGAGAGAGAGATCCAGATATCCATAGGTGAATTTCTGATGTTTGAATCAACACAATTATGAACTGTGTTTTTATCTCCTGATAACATTGTGCATTATTGAAGTTACGTTGCTTAAGTGACCTTTAAACAATTTGTCAGCTTCTGTATAATGCATGCGGTTTAATCTTGCTTATTGTCCTATGGTAAGCCTGTTAGTTTGGCACTTCAGTTTTTTCCCCCTATTACAAATGTTACTTTTATCCCTTAGGAGGTCTAAATGCTCTACTACCCATTGTACCTATGAAATATTCCCCTGCAACTAATTATGGATATATTTTGTTTAAGACAGAAATTACTGCCTGTCTAAGAAGTGTTATAATTGAATGCTAGCAGTTTTATTTCTAAAATACTACTAAAATACCAGCTTCGTAAAACTCAAATGCCAACATGAATTTATCAGAAGCTGTTTGAAACTCAAATGCTGTCATGAAGACGAAGAAGTAAAGTTAAGGACATAGAGCATAAGAATTGCTTTTGTGTTGTTACATTTTCTCTAGGGGCTGAAGAGTTAAAAATATGAAGTTGAATTATTGGTGTTTCATGGCCTGTTCATTTTTGCCTATTACGTTGTAACTTGTCGATCTCAAATTATACAAAAAGAAAAGAAATATTGATAAATTGTTTCCATTATATTCCCTTATCAGGATTTTGGAGCGCTATGTTCAAGACCAGATTCCTGGTGCAAAAGTTGTGGTAGAATCCATTGGTGCTCGTAGATATGGAGATGGTTATTCAGAAGAAGACTATTCAAAATCTGATCTCATGGTCTATGCCATTGATCCTCAAACAAACCGTGCTATAATGAGGAATGAGCTTTTCAAGTATGTAATTTATGTGATTGGTCTTTATGGTAGCACCTTGAAAATCTATTTTGCATCATAGTTATTTCTGACTGTTCCTTGATCACATTGACCCCCCAAAATATGTATTTTCCCTTTTGTGTTGTACTGAGAGGCGTACAGAGCATGAAGTATTTATAGACTCATGATATTTCCCTAATATTTATAGTCACAGCTCATTCCACATATAGATAACATGGAAGTTTTGACACTCAATCTGTTGAAACTCATTCAGATTCAAAGCTAGCCTTTCTTGGATGAATCTTTTTCTAAAGACTTCTGCTGAAAGAAAGGGATTCTTCAATGCGAGGTTGGTGCTTTCCATGCAACACTCACTGGCAGAAAGCCTTGTTTCTGTCTCCCCCAAACAGGAATAGATAAGTTATTCTGGCTGCACAGAAGGGAAGGGTTCTTTTCAAGTCAATTGGGCTCCAGGGCTTGGGACAATGGGAAACACAGGCTTAGTTTTTCACAAATAATAGATGAGGTGGGATTATCAGCATTTACAAAAGAATGTCAACATTTTCCAAATTTTGGACAGTCCCTATGTATGAATATATATATGTCACTGCTTTTTCAAACTGTAGACGAATTGCCTGGACTTGTGCCCATTGAGATAAAGGCTGTAGTGACTGATTTTTTCTTTATACACCCACTCCCTGTTCTTCTCACTTGAAAGAGTCTAACCTATTCTTCTCCATGATGTGCTTATTTTCTATGCGTGTGGCTTATTTTTATGTTGAGATGCATTCAGTCATGTGATTCCCCAACCAGCATCTGAAGTGGCTCAGTCAGAATTCTTTCATGCATCTCAGCCATTCACAGTTTGCCTAGGATCATCAGCACTGACACATGAATATTGACAGTCTGCAGATTTCAAACACTCACTGCTGGGTATGTTCTCATTTCTTTTAAACTGTTATTTTTCACCCTAGTTCCCAAACCTATTTCATCTGCTGCCCTGTGTCTACAAGGAGAGGTAGACAATTATTCTTCCTCCAAATACACTGATGTCTGCTGCTTTGCATGCATCTTCTTGTGCTACTTCTCCCCAAAGGGGAGCTGCACCAAAGTGCTCAGTGATTGAAGAAGACAGTCTGTCAGTCATGTCCCTCAAAAGCAAATACCTGTGGGCTCTGTCATGCATTCTGTTTTATTAGAGGGGCATTGTTCCCCTGAGTTCCAAAACCATGCATGGATGAATTACCACACAAGCAAGGTAGAACCCCATATGGATGCTGAATAGCAGAGATGAAGTAAATAAGCTTATGATAGATGGAGAGAGAGGGGTTACAAATAGTAACCAGACAAGAGAGTGGGGAAAAAATATTTGCAATCTAATATTATATGGACAGGTAGCAAATGCACAAACCGACAGAGACAAATGCTTGAACATACAGAACAAAACAAGAAAACATTAGCTTTCCTTTATTGTTTCTAACCTCTTGATGATATTGGTTCACCCCTCACCTCAAAAAGAATGAAGAAAGAGCAGACCATATCAGTCTAGAGAATCTACTCCTGATGGTTTCATCATCAGCATTCACACAGCTGTCATTTAAGATGGGACAATTATTTGTGGGACGTTTGAATCTATATGATGCCATTACCATGTTTGTATGCAGGGTGACATTCACCATGAAGGTTTACTCAGCAAGGTTGCAGTATATCAAGCTCCAGTGTCTCTTTTTCAAGCTATATATATACTGTTTGTTCTCTCCATTCCAGCTTGTGTCACAGTGTCATAATTCCTTCTTACTTTCACAGTGCAGAGCCAGGATAAAACACTATATCTTCCTGGGCATGTTAATTTGATATCCAGCCTCTATGGCATCAATAAAGTCTTAATATATGCACTTAGGCAATGATTCAAAACATCACAAGAACTACACATAATTTCAAGGGTGGGACAGTAAAGCTTTAGGAGTAAAACTGAACCATGTGCTTTCCAAACATGGCAGTGGGACTGCCCTTGTGTGTACCCAGTTGTACTTCACAGGATTGTGGACCTAATTTCATAAACACAATAATATCAATTAATCCCCTAATAATATATCATCACTATTTTTCTTAACACCTCCATCCACTTGTTAGGAGCTGCATTTTCCTTTCAAATTATTTCTATCTCATCTTCCATTATCCACTCAAGTGTGATTTCCTCACTGTTATCTGTAGAATTGAAATGGAGTCAGTTACCTAACACAGCACCCCATGGACCACTGTCCAAGTATTGGTTAGTATTGAATGAATTACCCAAAGAGGTGCAGCACTTTGTAGATTAGTGCCCTAGTATTAATCATGTGTATTCATATCCCATTGACTTCAACAGGGTTAATTTAGGATTGTCAGTTTGTCTGAGTTAACATGTATATCTTTAATTACTCTGGCGGGGGAATTTGGGGGGTGTTTTGGAGGTGGGCAGGGGTTATCCCAAGCCCTGCTTCCAAGAGTGACCACCTGGGGCCACCCCTCTCCCTCCCCTCCTGTGAGATTTAAAGGGCCCTCCAACTGATTGGCGGGGAGCACATGGCCCACTAATCAGATGGAGGGCCCTTTAAATCTTTCAGGAGGGAGGGAGAGAGGCTGTCACTGACCACATGCTCTGTTCTCAAAAATCCCTTTAAAGAGTCTTTTTGCAAGTGGGATGGGAACCATGGTGCGTAAGTCTTTTTGCAAGTGGGATGGGAACCATTTCCCAGCAGCAACTTGCCACTTGGGATTCAGGCACATGTGCCACTGCCCCATTCACTGCGAGCCTTACTGGCAGCCAGCCCTGCATGCTGCCAGCAGCATGTGTGCCTGAATCCCAAGCAGCGAATCATGGCTGGGAAATCAGCCCCACACACTGTAGCCCCCACCCCACTCACAAAAAGTTCCTGGCTAGTAGCGGATTGGAGCCCCTGAAACTGGGGGAACCCCCACCCGTACCTTGGGGCAGTCAACCCTAGGTTTACTTCTCAGTGGGTGTGCCTAGGATTTCAGCCAGAATGGTTCATTGTAGCTTGAGCATTTGTATAGAACACCCTACTTCATCTATGCTTGAAGTAATATTCTCTTAGTTGAATAAATTTATCCCAGTGGTATCACCAGTAGAACTCTCTACATGATCATTAGCTTAAAGCTATATATGTTAACTCAGCCATACTGCCAAGTAGATATGAAAGGAATGAGTCATTTTTAAAAGAAATAACTTCTTTACCACCACCACAATTTTGTCCCATGCATACAAAGTAGGCTGAAGTTGTTCTAAGAGAGACAGTATATTTGGGGGAATTGGAAATGTTGTCCCCTTTCTGTAGGGCCAAGGAATCACCTTGTATAATTATATTTTAGTTTTCATGTACAGTCTGTATACTCAGGAAGGTTAACATGGAAAAAAAATGGAAACCTGTGAAGCAAGCGTGCAGCTTTTTGTTTTGAACAGCTACCGATTAACATCGGCTTAGAAGCAGCCTAATTAGATTTTTTTTCCTTGTGCCCGCACAGTCAGCTTAGTTTTACCCCTCTTCAAAAAGCTTTTAAAAATGTAAATCAGCAAAATCCTAGGGAATACTTTCTTGGCTTTGGGGTAGAGGTGAACAAGTGTCAGCTTAGCTAAGTAAAGGAGATAAATGAAGTGAGAGTTTCAATCTGAAGCATTAACGTGTTTTAGCTGGTGGCAGGCAACCTCCAGAGGCCTGGTTCCGATAAACTCAGATGCTTATCCTAATCTCAAAAGCAACTCCAGCTGATACTTTCCTTCACCTAATCCTGCAGCAAGAAGATTTGAAGGGGCTCTGTGACCCACCTTGCCCCGCTCTAGGATGATTTCAGAGTTTGCTTTCATGGTCCTTTTCTTTTTGGAAGGGAGAGTTGTGTCACTCAGTCCACTGTTTTTCTCTCTCCTCTGCAGGCCTCATGACCTTATGTCTTGCAGAGCAGTGGGAAGAGAATTTGGATGCAATAAGAGACATATTAGAATTTTCCCATTTCTCTAGAACCAAAACAAATGGGAAAAATCACATTTTAAAAATGGGAGATCTGGTCAGTGGTAAAATAATGCGTTAGAGGAAAAAAATGTTTTCCTAGATGTTAAAATGGCTCCCACTGTCACATATCCAGCGAAATACCCGTGAAGCACACATCCAACCATGTCGTATTCCCTTAACACAGGGATCATTGTGGATGTGCTGGACATGACACTATCTTACACAATTGTGAGTGTTTATCATTTTCCACACTGAAATACCATTCTTCAATTACATTATTAAAATTAAAAATTTAGACCAACGGTCTAGCTACTGTTATGCCTTGCACAAGCAGACTTAGGTCTTTAAATACAATGAGGTTTTCTTTGTGCAACAGTGTACAGATGTTTTAAAAGAAACACAGTGACTATGACTTCTATACTAGCACAAGTGGACCACAAGATATGCTCCAATGTTTACAGCAAATACAAGGATCAGTACCAGATCAGACACCATTGTTTTAACCATTAGTTTGATCATCACTGGTGTTAAGATTGCCATCCTAAATACATCCCTTTTTCATGGAAGCAGTACTATGAAGCCATGAGAACCTTACCACTTTTGGTGTGGTGATCGATCTTTTACTGCTATGACAAGGAGGCAATCCTTAAGAAAGCATTCAGTGAAAAGTTCATTAATATAAACAATGATCCTTAAAAGCTCTACACTTATAAGAACATAAGAAAAGAACTGCTGGATTAGAACAGTGGTCCATCTAGTCTAGCATTTTGTCTCACATAGTGGCCAGTCAGTTGTCCGGGAAGGCCAACAGTCAGGGATTAGAGGCTTAACCTTCCTATAATGTTTATTTCCAGCACAGGTCACTGAATAGGGTTTTTTAAAGAATAATCTTTGCACATGGCAATGAGAGATCCTCCCCCCCCCCACAAAGTTATATTTTTAGTTCAGAAAGAATACTTCTCAGAAGGCCTTAACTTAATATTCTGAAGTTCCTTTTTCTTTTTTTCTTTTTTT